CTACAGTATATCAAGATAAATAAGGATTAAGGTGCAAGTTATTACATTAATAAACTTATTAAGATAAATACATAAATAAAAGTGCAAGCATTATAAACTAAAAATGCATTACTGTGCTGCTCTATGATCCTACCGATCACTTTCAAATAGCAAAATGGTAAGAAAAAAATAATCTTAATAAGTAGTATTCCCTCTCATGGCTCTTATCTATATTTTCCCTGAGTCCATTTAACTGAAACATATAAATAAATAAAATACAAAAATCTATGGCAAAACTTGTACAAAGAAATATAAAATAATTGTGATGAATCACAGCAGCAGACCCTGAATTTAGCCAGAGATTCTTTAAAAAAGGAATTTATTAAACTAAAAGCAGAGCAATACCAAACGGGACAGTCAGGGCAGTAAGTGTTAGGAAATGTTGAGCTTGCTTGCCGTACGTCGACGTCTGCCAGAGTACTTCAGCGTATTCATAGCTTATCCAACCTATGCCAGCATTTTTGCCAGATTTTTGGTCTTAATCATCAAGGTGTGGAAGGGGCTTAAGCAATCAGGTAGTGACAGTGGAGAGTTGATTGCTTTGGGTTGTTAGCTTTACAGCAATCCCTCATAATAAGTAACCATGTGATCAGTGCAAAACGGAAGCAGAAAGAACCAACAGAACCTGGCTCAGTGTGACTGAGCGCAAAAAACACAAACAAGTACTTTCTATGTCAAACAAAAGAGAGAAACACAGAAAAACACATAAGCTGAACCTGTAGTATAATCTTTGTTATAAGAAACTGAGTACATGATGTTAGATGCAGCAATAGCTCCTTTAGGGGGGTTAAACAGAAAGACAGGAGGTGAATCATCAGAAAGGAAATCCATACGGGTGTCCATAAATAACGTAATTATTGCACTAATATTATTTTTCTCCTTAATTCACTAAAGAATACTAATACACATCTTTAAAAAAAAAGAAATTATGACTTTTCTGAGACAATTTTGATGCTTTTTACATTTTCTCCATTAGACTGCTTCTCTGACGTCATCACAAAATCTGATTAAACCATGTTTATCTGCGTTTTAGTTGTTTCTCTCTTTAGATTACGCACTATATACCATAATGTTAACATGAAAGGGAAAAACTCAAAAAGACTAGATTTATGTTTAAATCCAAAGCCGAAAAAGTTAGCTCCCCAAAGTAGCGTAGAATCACGTTTCCGGAACAGATCATCGAACGACTGATAAAACAGGATTTACATGCATTTGTTTTCTCAGAGAACACATTATTAACCTTTTACACATTATAGTTTAGTATGCTTACTATTTTTGGGGAGGGAAAAACGCAATTTAGATCTTTTTTACAAAATAAAATCGAGGGCAACCCGGATGTTCATCTGGCTCTCTTTAAAGAATGCTAATACACATCTTTAAAAAAATGTTTCATGACTTTTGTGAGACAATTTTGATGTTTTTTACATTTTCTCGGTTACGCTGCTTCTCTGACGTCATCATGGGACACGCTCAGAGCAGTCCTGCTAAATATGATTAAACCATGTTTCTTTAGATTATGCACTATATACCACAAGGTTAACATGAAAGGAAAACATAAAACTCAAAAAGACTAGATTTATGTTTAAATCCAAAGCAAAAAAAGTAGCGTAGGATCCCTTTTCAGGTGCAGATCGTGCAGAGACGAGTGATAAAACAGAAAGGATTTAAATGCATTTATTTTCTCAGAGTGCACATTGGATCTTTGTTTTAAGCTAAATTATTTTTGCTTATTTTGGTTAATAATCCAGAGAAAGTATGTACCAGCTGCTCTCCCAGACCACACCTGAAAACACCTGCAAGAAGTACTCCCAGTACACCATCAACCCAAAAACACGGTACCAGAGAGTCAACCTGTCTGCCCTCCAGGCTCACCAGGTTAGTTTCCTTTCCTTTTAGAACAAAACGGCCCCGCAGGGTAAAAGTGTCATGTAGACGTATTCTGCTAACATGTATAACCTGACTCCGCCAGATCC